AGATGAGGTTGCGGGGACTGAGGCGGAAAGCTGAGCCTAGAGCTCTTGCAGACACGCTGGCCCCATGGGCAAGCAGGGCTCTCACCAAGTTCATGTTCTGGTTCATGATGGCTATGTGCAGTGCCGTCTGACCTGGACCAGAGAGCCCTCAGTCACGGGGTCTGTCCCCAGTCGTCTCGGAGACACAGCATCCCCCGGCTTACAGGAGGTCCCTGACAGACCCTTGTATGGATTTCTGTCCTTGGCTCAACAGAGTGGCCTGAGACCGAGGGCACCTCATCCCTCAGGCAGGGCACTTGGCTGTTTCTACCTCTTCTCTATTGGAGGTGGCATATAAAGGTCACACTTTGGTGCTGCTTTGAAAGAGACAGAGTTCTGTCCTTCAGGGGACATGAAAGAAGTTGAAAGGAAATAATCAATGGCTCAAGAAGGTCACGGATACTCAAAGTCAAGACCAGGACCTTTGTCTTCCTTTCAACTCAGAAGAGTCCCTCCTGAACCCTCCATCACTCCTTCGCCAACCTATCCTCAGAGGCCCATCTTAAGAGATGACATCAGACCCTCCCCTGGCTGTGTCCACCTTGAAAAACCGTTAAGGTTCCTCACCTGCAAATGGCTCACATATGGTGGGCTCCTTGACCAGCTCCGGGGCGGCCTCCAGCAGCACCATGGCGGCCTCCAGGTTGTCATAGAGGGCGGCTATGTGCAGCGCGGTCTCCCCCAGAGCTCCTGGAGCAGAGTGGATTGAGACAGGAGCATCAAACACCTCCCACAGACACTCCCCAAGGCCCTTTTGCAGAAACCCTCAGCGTCTGGGGGTGGAGGCACAGGGCTCTGCCCCACCTCCATCGTCCCACCTCGTTGCTGAAAGTCACAGGTTTGGTCCACCAGAAGCTCCTTCAGGACACACAGGTCATTCTCCTTGGCTGCCCGAAGCAGAGGAGACTCTCGGATTCTGGGAGAATGAACTTGAGTCAGGTAGAGACAGCATGGTGAGAAGCCGAGAGCAGAGAGGAAGGAACAGAGACGGTGCCTGCCTAGGACAGACACACACTGGAGAGTTGTTTCCCGGACTCTGGCTGAGGCTCGGACTGGGGCGAAAGCTTGCCTGAGGCTCCCCCTGTGCTTGCACGTAAGGGGCCTGGGGGCTCAGCCAAAATGAGGGGTGTCATGCCTGAGGGAGGAGGGCCTGAACGGTGGAATGGGTGGTCCCGGTGGCCCTGGCCAAGTCAATCTAAGCTGAGTAAACGTTCGGAAACTTGGGGATCTGGAGCAGCTGGAGGAGAGAGAATTTCTGCCCAGGTTTTACCCATGTTCCCAGACCTGCTGAACTGGCTCTCTTTAGCCAAGGGGAGTTTGAGAGATAAGAAGGAAGCTGAGAGGGAGAAACGGGCCAGCTGTTAGAGCCGCTGGGAAATGAGTGCGCTGCTGAATTCTGAATCCCCCTGGGGTCGGGTCGGGGGGGGGCTGCTGAGGTACACGTTCCTGCTGGGTGGAGGGCGAGTTTGAGGTGGGGTGTGCTGGCTCTGTCTCTTCTGTGGTTTACCCTGAGACCCAAGGCTCTGGGCTTCTCTGAGCATGTGCCGCCCGGAGAGGATCCCCGGGGAGATACCCGTCCTGTGGTACCTCTGCCGGTTAATCTTTGCTTCTCCCCTGCCTGCACGAACCAAACAAGAGATAAAGCTGCAGCCAGCTGATTCCTGCCGGGCAAGTGTGTGTTGGCTCTGAAGGTGAACACAGGGTCTGGGAGGTTGAGGGTCAGGAGGAGAGAGATGAAAGGCAGATAAACAGACAGACCAGTGGCTCCCGTGATGTCCCTTGCCCCAGATTTCTCTCTTCCAATGGCTCCATAAGCTGATGGGAAGAAGTTTGGTTTTTTTTAGTAGATTTTTTATCTCAAGGCTGAGATAAGGTCTGCCCCTCAGGGAAGTGTTCTCCGAGGGGCCGAGGAGTGAGGACCAGCCCCCGCCCCGTCTCACCTAGACCATCCATCCATGTGAGGGCACTCAGCCCAGAGCAACCAGGGCTGGGATTCCAGAGCTCTCTCCTGGACCGAGGGTTCTGCACACAGCCTCGGCTCTCAGGCCCCCGGCCCCCTGCCCTCTGCAGAGGGAGTTCTGGAACCCAGCACTCTCCCAAGATGGCCCTAGTTCCACTTGAAAGTCCGGAGGGAGGAAGGGAAGGGAACTAAAGTTTCCTTAGCAGGGCCTGGGATGGGAGGTGGTGAACAAGCAGAGCGCCTTTCCCAAATGAGGCCTCAGACAGCACCCAGGGCCCGCTGCACAATGTGCAAGGCCCACAGCGAAGTAAAACTGCCGGACCCCTGGTCCAAAAATTAAGAATTTTAAGACGATAATACAGAGCATTCAGCCACATGCTGGGCTCTTCTGAAGCTCTTCTGAAGGACTTATGCCACTGGAGAGGCCATGTGCTCCTGAGTCCAGCCCTGTCCAGCCCCCAGATCTGCTGGTGGCAGCTCTCCGATGGGAGACAAGTCTCCCAAACACTGAGGCAGAGGCCTGCCTTCAGGATGGCTCGCTGCCCCGGCTGGTCTTCCAGGCTCTGGACCTCAGGGCTGGCCGTAAGATGCTCTCCCCTTCCAGGGATACCAGTGCCCACAAACTGTCCCAGGAGCAGACACAGGCCTCATCTCTGTACCCGTAGGACCTAGCACAGCCCTGAACACAGGAGACTCATAAAAGGTAGATGGTCTATGTGGGTCCCTAGTGGGACTCCCTGACGTCGCCTGGGTTTCCCTGGCCAGCTGGTCAGCTCCAGGCATTATACAGAACACAGTTCTCCTCCTCTGTCCCCATGCCATCAACTTGCATTCTCATTCTAATTCCTCACTTTTTCTCCTTCAACTCAACGAGTCTCCTAAAACTCACAGGCTCTCAGCCCTTCCCCAACAACCTGTTCCCCAAGCCTGCACCTGCCTGTCTCCACTCCTCCCCTGCCAAGCACCCCGGCCTCTTCTGTCTGGTCCCTCTGGAGCCCCCGAAGCCCCCTTCTTTCACCAGGTTTAGAGCCCAGGCAGCACTCTGCCCCCACCTTCCATGGCCCAAGGCCACACCCCCCACTGCCACTGACAGAGGTTGCTGGGCTTTTGGTAACGGGGGGGGGGGGGGGGGCTGGCATCCCAGCGCCTGGCACTGAGCTCTGGGCTGCTCTCGTGGGGAGAAGGACCCAAGTGGGCTGGAGGGTTCCAGGCTCGGTGGAGGGGAAGGGAGGGGCAGCCTACCTCTTCTGCTGCAGCATGTAGGCCTCGTCCAGACCCTGATCCCGGTCTTGCTGTCCTACCAGCGAGGTCAGAAGTTTCTGGAGTTGGATCCAGAGTCCTCTTGCCTTGGGTGGAGAAGCCCCCATGCCTTCTCCTTTCAGGCTCTGACAATTAAGTTCCAGGGATGTGGTTAAAGGGAGCAGGTCTAGGACTCAGCGGCCCCTGAAGGGTGGTCGGCTGGGGCTGGGACTGAAAGAGGATGTATCTCCAGTATGATGTGTGTGCAGTCTGCGGCTGTGGGGTGGGTATGTGTGCACGTGCACTGAGGGGACTGGGACCCTGCCAGGAGACAGGCTTTACCTGGAGGGGGAGGAGCTCTTTCTAGAGAGAGTCCTTGGGGGCATAGAGCCTGGAGGGGAGGGAGGAGGGAGCCTGCTCCAGTCGATAGGCTAGGGCGGCTGAGACCAGGACAGCAGAGGGGTGGGGCAGAGGAATCTGGACGGGGAGCTGCAACAGAGCCTGCAAGGTGGGTCCCACCAGCACGGCGAGGGATTACCTGGGGTGCAGGAGAGTACGGAAGCCAAGCCCTCCAGCTCAGCAATCAGCAGGTCCGAGTTTGAATCCTGGCTCTGAGTCCTTCCAGATCAGTTAGGTGAGCTTTCAGTGCATCTGTAAGATCGAAGTATTACCCACTCTCACGAAAGTGTCAGTGAAGCACAATCGTAACAGCTCGATGACTGTTGACTCTCCTTCGACCGAAGGGCTCAAAAGACCCCAGGACTGCTCCTCTGATCTGTGGCCGTCCCTGCCCTCTATCCTGCAGCTCTGCCTCAAAGGAGGAGTTTCCTGGCTGCCCCTCCTCTGGGAGAAGCCCAGTGATTTCGCTTCCCTTCCAGCCCCTCCCTGCCAGTCAGGGGAGACCCCAGAGAGCCCCGTGCGTCCACAGAGACTGAACAGCAGGAACTGGGCGAAGGTAGAAGAAATCGCGGGACTCTCTCCAGGAATGAGTCAATAGGAGGAGTCTGAGTAAAGAAGATAAGACTGTCAAATTATTTTATGGTATTAGTTTCTATTTCTCTTCCTGATTGTTTTCAAAGAGGTATATCCATATTATCAAATTGGAGTCACTCAATAGATCAGTGAGGTACCTGGGAGCCAGATGAAGGTTCTCTTTGTATTTCCTGAGTGAGAAGACAGAGCACGGAGAAGTAGGTGTGATTACCCACAGCTGGTGGCAAAACTGGAGCTGGTCCAAATCAGCCGTCAGATCTCGCTGCTTCTGGGGAACCTTCTACCTAGAAAGAGGAGAGGCTTGGGTGGAGATAGGCTGGGGACCCTCCCCCTTGGGGGTCTTCAGGAGCAGGGACGCCTGTCTTCTTTTGCTGTAAGAAAGAGAGGGCTCCTCTAGAGATTGAAGGATGGACAAAATAACCTTTAGAGAAGGACAAAAACTGAAAGGAATATAAAAAAGGAAAGGAAGAGGAGGTGCCTGAGACCAGGAGGAAACATGCTCTCACCCAGGGAGGGGGGAGATGCCGGCTGGCCAGGGGGAGGGGTCACCTTGTGGGACATTTTTCTGCTTTGCTGGGGGTTGGGCAGTGTGGGGCTGTAATGACCTCCGAAGCCTTGGGACTTCCAGTCTAAGGAGATGGAAAGAGCGATAAGGGTGAGGTGGGGGGTGTAGATGAGCTGATAAGCAGGGGCCGGCCGAGGAAAGGAGCACCTGCCCAGGAAACACTCAACCCATAAAGCCAGTCCTGGAGGGAGGAGGGGCGGGAGGGCCCGGTCAGAGCCGCACAGAGCAGGTGCACGGGGCTGGCCATCAAGGGCACAGTCTTTGGTCCTTGGGTCCCAGGGGAAGAAAGGCACCCCCCTCTTCCCTAAGTTCACCTCCGGTCTCCCCCTCCCACTTGCGCTCCTTTGCCTGCACTGTCCCCTCCAATGGGAGGGACAGGAATAAGGTGCCTGAAGGGGACGGAGCTGTCCCACCTGTCCCACCTGGAAGGCTGGAGATTCAGAAATGGCTTCCTAATCTTTAAGGAGTTCTCTCCTCTTCTGTCCTCTGGCTTCCTTCCCCATCCCTCCATCCCCTTTGTCAGAGCCTGCATCGCCTCCCTATTTTCTCTTCTCTCCTCTGATCCATTTCCATCCTCCCTCAGCTTTCTGTGGGCAAGGACACCTACAAACTCTCTCCCCTCTGGGTAGCAGCTCCCCAGCCCGGTGATGCCTCTGGGTCTAGTGCGAGTCCTTAAGCACTGGTCTGGGGCCCCTCACCTCACTGTCGTGTCCCAGAGCCCCTTGGTGCCAAAGCATCCAGACCTCTTATTCTGATGGAATAAATAATAGGAACACCCATAAACCTGAAATTCAATTTTTAGGTCTTAGACTCCCACCCCACCTGCCCACAGCCTAGGGAAAGAATTTGAATACAATACTTTAAAACATTAATACTGATTGTCATCGGATGGTGGGAGTACTAGCCTTTTTGTTCTTCATACTTTTTCCCTTTGTACTTTTTCAGTAAGTAAAAAATGTAAAGGGGTTCCTGGCTTCCAAGGAGGATTTATCTCCTCAGCACAGGGCGTCAGGCAGGCGGGTGGTGAGGAAATGGAGGAGTGGTGGTCAGGGCCACCGTGGTCTTTCTACCGCCCCTGTAAGACAGCCCCCACCCCCAGCTGCCCTCCCCACCAGCACTCACAGAGCGGGAGATGGCTTCTCATTTTGCTGGGAACCCAGAGGCTCCTCCCCAAAGTAGCCAGGAGGAGGTTAGTAATTTTTTTCCATTCAAGCATCATTTCCTGATCCTGCAGGTCAATGAGTATAAGGGAGGGGTGAACAGGGTCACTCCCTTACCTGACTCTTGCCTCTCCCATCGTCACGTGACGTCCTGTACCACTCCCCAGTCACCCTGTCACCTGGCTTGGATCATCAGAAAGAAGACTGGAGGCAGTGTCGGCTGTCCAGGAGAGACCCTCCTGGATGCTAGCGTCAGCAGCGTCCATGGGAGGGAAGTCCCACATGCCCCCTTCATTTCCGAGCTCCCCTCTTCAGAAGGGGAAGCCACATTTCTGCACATGTCCTCGCCCCTGCATTCGGCGGTGCATTCAGGTGTGGAATGCATGGACACCAGGAGTGGCCTGAGCTGGTGGTGATGGTTCCAGTGGGTCTAAGATCCCCTCCCATCTGTTCCAGCACCCCTCCTGTGGCTCATGGCCTGTATCTGTCTCTGGTTTTCTGGGGCAAGCCTTCATTCTGTCTCCCCAATGCCACACCCCCTGCCCACCCCCCTCCCACCCCAACCCCGACCATCTCAGCTCCAGGAAGCAGATGCTAATTGGCCAGTCCATTCCCGCCAACAGGTCTGCGCTCACCAGGGTCACAGGCAGGGCAGGCATTGGGACATGAAGGCAGTTTCTTGAGATTTGTTATTTGGGATCCTTGCCTCTGCCATGCTGGTTTTTGTCTGAAGGCTCTAATCCTCCCACCCTTTAGAGACTGAGACTCTAACAACCGTTCCTCTGCATCCGAGAGAACAAGAGGCTGTGAAATGAGGGTGTTCAGTCTGTCAGTACGAGAGGGCAAAGGCTGGGAGAGGGGGAAGTCTGGGGGAGGATGAGGAGAGACAGCAGTTTCCACTTGGGCCCAGCGCACTCTGCTCTCTGTCTGTCTCTCACACACAGAGCAGGGACCTTCCCCCTCCTCCACCTATGCCTCCCCCTCCCTCATTTTTGATGGGCCCGAGTTCCATGCACAGCCCAGGATGTGACAGTCCTCATTTTGACATCCCGCCTGGGCCTCAGCCTACGCAAGCGGCTTTCCTTCAAGAAAGGCCGCACAGAAGAGTGTTGGCAGGTGTGATATTTAGAATCTAAAGAGTCAGTCAAGAGTCCTGCTCTGCCCCCTATTCTCTGTGCAACCTATAGTGGGCAAGTCATTTCTACTGTGAACCTCAGTGTCCTCATTTCTATAATGGGTATGGCCGGACTATGACTTTGAGTCCTGCTCGCCATGTGGATCTGACAGTACAATGGATGTGAAAGGACTCCACACAAACTCTTAAGTCGTCGCCGTTGCTCTCCACAGGACGGCCCCCTCTGGTCCCCTGCTGGTGACTCTACTCTCTCACCTGCCAACAAAACTCTCTGGTGACTCAGAATGAGGGACGGGCCATGGCTGTGATGTCACAGAGCTCATGACGTCAGAGGTCCTATGGCAGGGAAGGGGAGAAAACGGTGCTGGGAAGGGGTAAGGGCCAGGACAAGGGACAGGGGAGGGAGGTGGGGGGAGCCTGCCCGTCACGGGGGAGCAGGGAAGGCCACTGGCAGCAGATGGGCAGGCCCATGACTTCCCTGGGCGCCCAGCTCCACAGGGCTGCGTTCCTGGCAGCCGTCCTGCTGCTGCTGCGGATGAAGGGGGTGAAGCCTCAGAAAGCGAGCCCAGCCCCCAGCGAGAGGCGTCAGGAAGAGGAAACGCCGGCTGCCGGTAGGTGAAGACAGGGCAGTGCCTGGGCCGGGGCTGGAGCTCCTTGCCTTCAGTCCCACTTGTCAGGCCAGAGTGGAAGCCAGGACAGGCTTGGGGCACGTGTGATCACCCCCGGCCCTACCCCTGCATCATGGGTGTCGTGGAAGGGGTCTGGGGCGGGGGTTCCTTGCCCCAGAAACTGCATGGGGCTTTCCTGGGGGCAACCAGAGGAAGAGGGTCTGTGAAGTTCATCCTTCTCTAAGATGGTCCCCAGCCCCCATCAAATGATGTCACACATTGGAGGAGGCCGTTTGAGTTGGCAAGGGGGTGTGTGAACACCGAAGGTGGGGCTGTGGCTGCACACGGAGCAGAGGAGACCTCCAGATGGAGCCTCACGTCTGTGGTCAAGGACAACAGTGTGCGGACGGTTGGGCTCCCAGAGTCCCCGACTTCTTCCCCTCTCCAGTGTGGACCAGGGGCGGTGGGGGGGGGAGCAGGTTACAACCAGTCCTTTCACGCCTTCCCCTCTCCCCTGCTCTAGACCAGGATCGAGAACAGTTTGAAGAGCACTTCGTGGCCTCCTCGGTGGGTGAGATGCGGCAAGTAGTGGACATGGCCCAGCAGGAGGACGACAGGACATCAAAGACGGCGGCTCTCCGGGACCACCTGTTTGACTTCACCTTCTGCTTTAACCTGGCCAGCATCATGGTTTTTTTATGAGGGATGCTGAGGCGGAGGTGGCGGCCTGGTTCCTGGATGAGGACCTGGATATCTACCTCCGCTTCATGATAGCGTACTGACCATCTTTCCCCACGGGGCTCCAGGTCGCTTCTCCCGAGGGAGACATGCATGTGGCTTCCTGGCTCTTGCCAGCGGCCTTTCACCTCAGATACAGCATCAGAGAGATCATGAGCTGGCCTTCCAGCTGCCCAAAGCCACGGCCCTACTGTTTCCTCATTCACAGTCCGAGAGCCATCTCCAAGAGCTAAGATATCAGACCCCTGCCCCTCTCTCTCCCCGCAGCTCCTGGCTTCATTCAGGATATCTGACTGGGGAGGAGGCAGCAACAATAAGAGTAGTAACAATAAAATCCTGAAAACAATTGGAAAACAATCCTGAAAACAATTAGTCTCTTACTGGTTTGTTTCATCACCCCGCCTTTGGCCCACCAACATTTAGACCCACCAGTTCCCCAATCATCGGTTCTCTCTTTGTCTCGGCTCTGTGGAACTCTGCGTAGCATTTTCTCCCCCTATTTTTCTGACTTCTAGGCAGAGGACATAGCAGGAAAGAGTTCCTAACAGACAGGAAGAAACCAAGGGCCAGCTTTTATTTGGGAAACGGAAGGGGAGAGGAGATATTGCCCTGAATCCATGGATGGGGAAGGGAGATGTTGATACGTCTGTGCTGAGATCTCTTTGGTAGCTGGCCGGGTTACCAGAGTTGGCAGCGGCTGGAGGGGTTCATGAGGGTACCATGGGGACACTGGAAGTGTCTGGCGAAGGCTGGGCTGTTGCTTAGGGGCCCATGCACTCGAAGGGTAGGAGGGCTGTGAGTGTCCCGAGGATCCTGGGTGCTGGGGTCCCTACACATCACCTGGGGAGAAAAAGAGGTCCAACAGGGTAAGGAGAATAGCAGGCATCAGGGTCAGTAGGACGTGGCAGACCTGGTGACCAGGTGGGACTAGGGACAGCAGACAACGAGCGGGGAGAGGAATGCTCCACGGCCACAGGGAGAAAGGAAGATATTTGCTCTCTGTGGGTCGTTTAATCTGGCAGCAGGTGTCTGAGGCAGGGCTGGGCTGTGTAGTCATACCATTTATAAGTGACTGAGAGGTAGGGTCTGTTGTAAGAACTCTGTGGGCGGGAGGGGGTCTTTAAGTGTACTGAAGAATTGGGGGCAGTGTCTGTGGAGAGAGTATGTGATACTTAGGCAGGGGTCATGTCAGGGTGGGACCACATCTGGGGATGAGGTCTCCAAGGAGGAATGTGGTCTCTGGACAGTCTGTTAAGACTCTCGGAAGGGATCTCTATTTCTAGGAGAAGAAACGAGAGAAGAAAAATGTTGAGTTCATCCCAAGGAGGGATTTGGGAGTAGAGTTTTCTTTTTTTGGAAGTGGGTGCTGAGTTTGGGAGAATTTATAGTACCACGAAGGGACGGTCCCAAGAGGACATGTGTGAAAGGATGACAGTGGGGACATGTGCAGCAGAGGGTTGGGGACACTGGGGGAAGATGTCTCCTTTCAGGGAGGAGAGATTCTTTGAGTGTTAACAGAAGGGTATTTATCTGACACGGAGTGAGTCTTGGCAGGAGGTGGCAGCTGCCTACCTGGGCATAGCTTCGGAAGAAGAGTTGCCGGGGGCTGAGGTCCAGGTGGGGCAGGGTGGTCTCCCCACGGTACCACAGTAGCCTCTTGTTGTATGCCTGCATATGGGAATGCGATGGAGGGTTGCCCTTAGCTTTCAGACCTGTGGCCACTGGGAAGTCTGCCGCCCTACCCACAATATCCAAAACCAGTTCATGGCCCGTCTTCCCAAGTTCTGCACGGACACACTGGTCTGGGCCAGGAGAAAATGCACTTGCTGTAAGAGCGCTGGGAAAGAAAAGAAGGCTCCATGGAATAGGAGGGGGTCCTCAAGTTGCCATCTGTTCAGCGGGGATGGGAAGGGCAGAAAGCTCTGCTATGTTTGCAGGAGGGATGATGGAAGGTAAAACTGGAGGCAGGCTCTTCTGCTGGCTAAAACAGCTCCTGGCCTTGGAATGTGAGTTACCTGCAACGCAATGGCCAGCCCGCCTGTGTCGGCGGCATTCTCCAGGAATGTGCGGGAGCCATTGAAGGAGATTCCTTTGGGTAATGGAAAGGAAGCATAGTGGCGCTCCAGGCACAGTAGCGCCCCCTGTAGGGCACGGGTGTCACAGGCCGGGCAGCCCCCAGGGAATACTGTTGAAAATGGGGCAAGAGAATGAAACGGTGAGGCATGACGCAAGAGGTGAAGACGTGGGGGTACCACAAACTGGGAAGGCTCCCAGGAGTACTGCAAAGGCTTCAGGACTGTCCCACCTGGAGCCCTCGCACAACCTCCCTTTCTCCTCCTCTAGGCCTCCTTTGGGGTCTTCTGGGCTCCCCGCGGCCTCACCTCCCAGTGGCCCACTGTACTCACAGAGCTGGTACAGGATGTGCAGCATCTCATGGGCCATAATGCTGCCAGCAGCACCAAAGTTCACGGCTCTGGGGAGACAAGGGCTTGTCTCACCCCCAGAATCCTTCCAAGTTTTTGGCTTCAATTCTCCAACCACCTCCATCACTCATCGTAACACTGGCCCATCGCTCTTGGGAAACTTCCTGCCCACCCTCATGGAACGGCCCGTACCTGGGGTAGCCAGGGTGGAAGAATGGGGGTTGGAGGAGTCCAGCTGGGAAGACCACCGCATGGTCAGATACTGAATAGTAAGCATTAACCCCCCAGGGGGGCACCTGCCACCTGTGGGAAGAGCACACGCGAACATCAGCTCCATCATTACTGCTCCCCCACCCCAGACGCGTGCAGTCCTTCCCAAATACCGTCACTGTTCCTGTTTCCCTGAGCCCCTGGTTTTCTTTCCTGCTAATTTTGGACACTATTTCTGGGATGCGGTGTCTGTGTCTCCCTTGCTCTCCTACCTGTGGTGGGGGAAAGGCTGCAAGAAACTCCGGATAATTCTGGCTCGGCGAGATCGGACACAGCTCAGGAAGGACTGCAGGAAGCTGGGTTGAAGTTGTATCTGGGAGGAGGCAGGAGGCAATTCGAATACACCAATGTAGATGCACACTGATATACCCTGATGGGGACGTTTGAACCCAGGCAGATAAGCCCTGACACACAGACATCCCCGAAGCAGTCGAAAACCAGCACTGTGACACCATCACATGTTGGTGCAACGGGCTTCCCACGTCCCGGCACGCAAGCACACTCAAGCAAATCACATGAATGCATGCGTACACGTGTGCGCACACACTCATTGTGACCTGAAAAGATTCTATCCCTCTGCTGGCAAGACCCACAGTGCGGCTATTGACCATCAAGTCCGGGCAGCACCAGGGCAAGGAAGGGGTCGCTTAGGATCAACCAAGGAAAGTGACTGTCTGCCACTCGGATGGGTCGGAGCGGTGAGGCAGTTGAGGACTAAAGAGGAGCTGGACCCACATCATGGTACTTCTGTCTGGCCAGGTCTGGCTTCAGGGCCCATTCCGGGGCCCCCATCTTCACCTGCACTTGTGCGACCTGGGAAGAGACAGGAAGGTGGAAGGAACCCAGCCACCCGGAGTCTATCAGGAGAAACTTCTCCTGCTCACTGCCCTCGTCCCCTCCTTTGGTCCTGTCCCCGGATGTGTGTGCAGCATGTCGGTGTTCATACTTGGGCCCTGGTGCCTTCAGCACGCTCCTCCAGTCACAGTGATCTCTTGACCTAACATGCAGTTTACACCCGCTACGCATTCCCACACTGTCTCCTTCTGGTCTCACCTTGTTCAGGGCCTCTTTCCGGGTCTCTTCATCCACCCAGGGAAGCCTTTGGAGGCGAGTGATGAGGGCCTCCTTGATTACAGTGAATAATTCCATGGCCTGTGGGCAGAAACAGAGAAACAAATGGGTCAGGATCAGCCTCAGTCCTGGGTTCTAGGCAGGGGCCTTGACCCTGAGGAGCTGCCAGAAGGGGGACAATCTCAAAAAGAGGAAGGGGAAAACGGTATTTCCTAGGTGACCAAAACCCCAGGGTCGGAGAGCTATGGAGACAGGAAGGAGGTACGAAGCCCAGAAGGGGAAGGTGGGAACTGGTCACCCCTGAGAGCTGAAGGGGGAGGCAGCTCCTTTCCTTGGGGCGATCTCCGCCTGCAGGGGAGACACTGTCCTTTCTCTGGGCCAGACGGTTGACTCAGAAAGTGGAGGGAGGAAGAGGACCATCACTCCCTTCTCTGCTCTCGAGGGCCCTAGTCCTCACACCCTCTTTCTTAAGGGTCTCCATCTTTCTGAGTTCTCCTGCTTCCCAACAAGCCGAAGCCTTCCCAGCTCCACACGCTGGCTGCAGTTACTGCTTTCTCAGCCATCTACCCTCTTGCACATTTCCTTTCTTGACGGAGAAAAATGGATGGCAAGAGCAGAAGCCTGAGTTTAAACCCTAACTCTGCTGTGTGACCGTGGGCAAGTTGCTTAACCCCTCTGTGCACCAGTTCTGTCTGCTTTGAAAGTAGAATGATACTAGGAATTAAAGCAGTTCCTGCAAAGTGCTTATAAGGGTACCAGGCACACGGTAGGCACCGAAAAGCATTCAGTAGCTATTTATTTGCACTTCTTAATATTATAGCATTCCACTCACGTCATTTCACGTGCTGTTAATAAATCATAGATAAACAAGGAGGAGCCTTAGAGGTCATAGGATTCAATTTTCCATTTTACGGTTGAGGAAACACGTGAGCAGGAAAGTGGAGTGACTTGTCCAGGTTAATGTGTGTTGTGTAGACTGTGTCCTGAAGCTAAAGCGAGCAGACCCTACGGATGCAGCACGCCCTCCTCTGGGCTCCCTCCCATGGTGAACTCTCTCTGTAGCTGCTGATTCCCTGACCACAGATACCATGGAGAAGGGCAAAGTCAAAAGAATTAGGAGAGGATGGGTGGGGTGGGAAGGGGCGGAGGGACGTGGGCTGGGGGAGAGCCCTCACGTACAGCACTTTGGGTGCTCCGGCCGAAGGTCTCCTGGGCAAACAAGGCTGCCAGCGTGGGCTCGAAGAAGGCTTCCGACTCCTCCACACACATCATCCAGCGAGGGTA